ATTGGACCATTCGAAATCTTAGACAGGATTAGTACTGCCGCCTACAGACTAGCACTACCTCTAGAGCTTTTCTTAGTCCATAATGTATTTCATGTGTCCATGCTACGCAAGTACAACCCGGACCCCTCTCATGTCTTGGCCCACGAACCCCTCCCACTCCAGGAAGACTTATCCTACGAAGAAGTACCAGTCGGCATTACGGATCGAAAGAGTAGGTTGCTCCGCAACAGAAAAATATCCTTTGTAAAGGTCGTACGGCAGAACCACACACCAAGGGAGGCTACATGGGAACTAGAATCAGACTTTAGAGCCCAATACCCCCATTTGTTCGATCAAGAGTAAGAGGCAAATTTGAGGGACCAAATTTCTTTAAGGAGGGGAGAGTTGTAACACCTAAATTATTATTATTATTATTATTATTATTATTTTATTTTATTTTTTTGTAATTTTTATATGAATATAATGATTTATTATGTAATAATATATGGTTTTAATTTAGTTTGATTTAATTAAATAGAAATAATAATAATAATAATAAAAAGGGGTAAAATTATTTTAGGGATTTAATTGAAAAAAAAATTGGAAAAAAGGAGTGAAAATTTGGGTTCTGGGAGTGTTTTTGAAAAGAAAATTGAAAACCGGAGGTCAAAACACAATTTAGAAAAATTGTGCCACGTTAGTAGCCCGGTCAGTAGCCCCAGCCAACCAGGACACACTGCGTGGTAGAGACGCTGACGTGGGAGGCCACGCAGAAGGGAGCCACGTGGGCAATCCGCGTGCGCGCGATCGAACGGCTGAGATTCGTTCCCGCGCGCACGGACGGCCTAGATCAAAAATGGGTACGAATGGCCCAGATTGCACGTGCACGGACGGTCCAGATTGAATCGAGTACGGACAGCTCAGATTGCATCGCGATGAACGGTTCATATTCATTTCCTATTTAATCGCGATTGGACGGCCCAGATTAAATCGCGATGGACGGCTCATATTAAAAGCGGATGGTTATAAATTATCTCATCCACACCCAAACCCTAACCCTAGCCGCCAGAGCCCCTCGCCGGAGAAGACAGCCCAGCCGCCGGGGAGCCGACCGCCACCACCCGCTGCCGCACCGAAGCAATGTTTGGCTGCCAAACGAAGTAAAAATTTTTTTCTTGGCTCAGAATTCGATGCTAAACCCACCTATGGCCAAATCGAAGTAAAAACACTGGTCAATTGGCTGAAAAACGCCCCCTAAGCCCAACGACGCCGCCGTAAATTTTCTCAATTTTTGTCTCCGATGAAGCCCTTTCCGATTCCCGTTCGATGTAATTTTTACACCATTGTGACTACCGTTCCTTCCTCTACAGGTTGACCGGAGCAAAACACCAAATCGCGACTCGAGCCGGAGGAGCTGCCGCACCGGAGAGCCCCGTCGCCGGTAAGTTTTGGTTTTCGATTTTTTTTTGGCCCATCGAGGGCCCTATGGGTGTTTTCTCACAGGAACCAATGCAAGTTTGGCCGAATTTGGCTGAAAACGGCCAGAAACAACCAACCCGAAGCGGATCGCCACCGCGTCGCCGTGCCGGAATTCCAAAATTGGCCAAATAGGCTTTGGGTCTGATTTTTGAGTTATTTGAGATATGTGTAGATACCATAAGCACGTTTTAGTTCCTGAAAAAAAATTTAGGAAACCCAGAGACTGCCCGTATGCACAGTGAAAATTCGATTTTCGGCTTCGAATCAGGTAAGGACCCCTCACCCTATTTCCTATCACGGGATTAAAGTCTAATAAATGATAAAACTGTATTTGTATGAATTAAATTGATATACATAATTATTACGGTTGCTAATGGAGCCCGAACCGGATATATTTCTCTGTCAGTTCCTATTTAATTTATTTTACAGTCTAAATGCAGTATAGTATCTGATTTATTTATTCTATGGTTTTGAATGCATGAATCACTGTTTACTTCATTATGGCTTGATTTTGTGAATCCGATGATATGCTTACCGTGTTGGATGCTCGTTACTTATTTAAATATTCATGTTTATGTGAGAAATGGAAAACTAAGAAAAAAATAGAAAAGATATGTGAATTAATAAATGGATAAGTTGACAGCCTCACTAGATATCCTAGGAGATGGTGGACGGACCGGGTCCATAGAGAACCCTACCGGGAACATTGTCTCATACCAGACGAGGTATGGAGATTTTAAATATTTTGGCACTCATACTGGACGGAGTATGGAAGCAGCCCGCTTCACCCTCATACCGGACGGGGTATTGAGATTTATTGTTTGACACCCATACCGGACGGGGTATGAGGACGGCTTTGAAAATTAAGTTTGTCAAGAGAATAGTTCACGGGTAGCGGGGACCCCTATAGATCCCCACGGATACTAGTAGGCTAATAAAAAGGGGGTAACTGTTATTTGATGATTGAAATATAAAAGTATGACATGTAACATGTTACAGATTATGTATGAACTTATAATATCTATGATGTTATTGTTTCCATGGGTCGTTTTTATAAATTCTACTGAGGTAAGTGGGCGGTAAATGGTTTGATCATTGATAAATAAATTTACTTGAAACTTGTACTCCATTGGTTATTTTAATTTTCTACCAATATTTACTTCTGTGACAGCGATATAGTGTGATGTCTTTACTGGGCTAGTGTAGCTCATTCCTTACTTAACCATTTCAGATCAGGAGGACTTGGTTCCCTAGCCCGATCTACAAGAAGATGGCGAGTAGATACTTAAATGTTTATTAGTTTCTTTTATAGTCTTTTATTTCCAGTATTTCCTTTAGAGGACTTATTTTCGGTATTGTTAGTACGTTTAAGTTATTATGTAAGGGATATTAAGCAGAACCTTTTATTTCGCTTCCGCACTTATATTCTTTATATACATCTCCTTTTTAAATTTTCGGGGTCGTTACACTTGAAATCAATTATTTATAGACTTTCATTGCTAAGTTTGAAAATTAAGAAAAGAAATACCTCAAAGTTGAACCTTGATATATTTTATAGGCTTCATATATAGTCAATTTAAAATAAATAAAAGGATGAGTGATTAACAAGGAAACTAAGTTCTAATCTCATTAGAATAAGTTTATGTTAAGATGTGATCTTTTAATATGCATATATTTCCTATACTAAACATGACATTCAACCGGAAGATTTCCCATGTAACATACATGTCTAGCTTCCATGATTGAGCAACTATAGATAATTAATACATGTATTACTTTATTTAACTGTATGCAACAACTTCTATATGTATACATATCAGCATATGTTTGCATATCTATATATATATATATATATTTTTTTTTTTTTTATATCTACATATGATTAATAATTCATAGATATATAACATAGGTACTAATAGTACTTTCATCATTAGTATTCTATTCACGACCTCGTTTATGTATGTATATGGGTGTGCATAATTTCTCCATAAGTATATATGTGTGGAAGGGCAGTATAAATGCACTTAGTTATAGTTATGACAAATTTAAAAAAGTAGTTATTTTATTTTTCATTTAAAGTTACAATATATATTTACATTTTCTAATATGTAATAAGTTTAGTAGATAGATACTAGAGAGATGATTAAAATACTAATAAAATACAAACATTAGACGGCCTATTTGTCACGTATATAAATCTTAACACTCATTCAAATATACATGGTAGATAAAACTAATAAGAATGAATAGATTTTGAAATACTTCAACCTTTACAAGAATGTTAGAAGTTTAATACTCGTATGAAAATTAAGAATAGACTAGGTTTTTCTTTTAAGTCTGGAAAAAAAATAACTGAGGCAATGGTTTAGTAAAAGAAAATAATTAAAACTTTAATTCTATGTGCTTTATTTACCATCAAACACATGATTAAAAGGACAAAATATTGTGCCATAGTGGTATCAGATCGTAAGATAGGTGGTTCAGAAAAATGCACTATGAGTTCTTAAAGAAGTAATGAACCAAATTAATTAAGTACAAAATTACTAATAATTTTTCTATAAGCCCTCAAATTGATCGTTTTCAGTTTTTGAAAAACACTAGAATAACAAGGCTAGGAGTAAGATAGTTTTTGGCATAAGATATATTCGTCTTGTGTATTAGATTAGTCATGAAATGCTACATATTGTTCTCGATACGTCATTAATTACTCCATAAGCTTATTTTAATTACTTCAACTATTTTTATTGCAATAGTTTCTTAATAAGTAACTCATATTTTTTTAAATACTTTTTTGTATATACATAGTCAATCCATATAGCAAACACATATGTAAGTTATACTTGACAATTAGGTTTTTTAAAGATAGATTTGATGGATGACTTCTCATCTAACAAAACAAATATTAGCGAAGAAAAATGAGAGGCATATGTACTTCATATAAAAACTAATTATTTTTTCATTAAGATTCATTTTTATAATCTATCTATAAGCACTTGACGAGATTTCCCATCAACACCCTCTTCCTGTGAAGAAAAGTTAAATTTACAAGCTCTAACGTTAGAGCTAACGATCATTAAGAATCTTATGAGGTTATTTATTTTTCTCTACTACATAATATTTCTCTACAATCAAATATAATTGTAATGATTCATAATTATATTTGATTAAATATTAATATTAAAAATGAGGCAGCATAGTGATGTTAATAAATAATAATTTAATGAGATAAAATAATAACTAGGTCAAAAAATCTCTAAAGATTGTAAAGAGATAAAACGAAAACGAATTATAATGACTAAAATTAAATTTTATTAGCTCTTTAGTACAGTCACTAGTAAATTTAGATTCAATAACAATTATCAAATTACGATTAATATATTTTCATTCTCGAATGGAATTAACGGTACCAACTAAAATTAGTTAAATAATACATTAAATATATAAACTTCGATATATAATAAAAATTTAGAGCTTAAACTGAACGGAACAAACATGAACTACATACAATGTAAAAAATAATTAATGATAAAATAACTGCAGTCTTGTTGAAATTGTATAAGAATTTCCCTAATGACAACTGAAAAAACCTGAATGATAATACCTAAAACAATATAACTCTCATGATAAATTACCAGCACAGTCTAATTCTACTCTCTATACCCTAAAAGAACACAAGACATGAAAACTTTCCAACTTTCAGTAACCGATTATCCTTGTGGATATCTGGACAAAGCTGCCACAACAAAATGTTCAGAAGCAGCAAACTGATAAAACTATCAAAAACAGGACCCTGTATCCTTATTTAGCAACTCAGTGAAAAAAAAAAAAAAAAAAAGAATACAACAAGATTACAAACATGCTATTGAATCTACCCAGAATTTTAGGACAGAAGGTACAAAAACGGCACGAGACAGACAAAAAAATGAAACAAGATGAAGTCAAATAGGCATGGTGCATTTTTTCTGAGAATGTCCTAACAAATGACATCTGCCACATTGAACAATTCTCTTAGGCCGTTTCAGGTTTTCGACACGAAGAACCTTCTTCTTTGGCCTGCCAGGTGGCCGTCGAGTTTTAGGTGGGTGTATCGTAATATCAAGATTAGCACCTCCACCTTCAGTTCCCTCACCTTGCTCCTTCCATAGGCTCTTATCTGGAATTGGATTGATCATTTGGGAATAGGTCTCCCGGTAGCTTGCTACTGTGAAACAATGCTCAGCAAATAAATGTGCATTTTGACCACAAGAAATAAGTGCAGCTGCAGCATGAGCACAAGGTACACCATAGAGTTGCCAACGGCGACAAGAGCATACACGACTTCGTATATCCACTATGTTTGTTCGCTCAGTTGACACAATCTCAAACTCAACTTCATTTGCACGGAGTACTTGATAGCAACGAGCATCTGCAATTGCTTCTGAAATCCGCTTCTCAGCAGATGGAACAAGAATTGAGTTCAACCTCATCCCCATATCACGACGATCATCAAACCAAGCTGCTAACTGATGCCGAATATGTTCCATCATTTGCACAACAGGAAGCTCATGGCATTCGAGAGCCCAATTGTACAACAACTCTGTGACACCTAAAGCAAAATGGCCATATCTAACCCCCTCAAAATATGCCACAGCCCAAAGCTGAGGAGGAAACTGTTGAAACCATGGTAACACGTCTTGTGAGATATCTACCATCTCAGAGATCTTGGCTTCAAATTCAGCTGCTGTGAGGGCGTAGACTGCATTCCAGAATATATTCACTAACTTTGTGTTCTTAAAAGTATCACGGAAATTTTCACTTACATAACGTAGGCAAAATCCATGAAAAGCAGTTGGAAAATGCGTTTCAACAGCCTCTACGATACCCCTCTGTCTTTCAGATAATATAGTAAGTCTAGGCATGCTGTCAGTATTCACTCCCAGAAGCTTCCTCAGTTCCGACATGAACCACATCCAATTTTCTTCACTTTCTACATCAACTATAGCAATTGCTAAAGGAAATAATGCATCATCCGCATCAACAGCAGCAGCACAGAGTAGTGTGCCCAAGTATTTTCCTTTCAGATGTGCTCTGTCAAGTTCCAGAAGTGGCCTACAAGCATTTATAAACCCATAGATACTTGCACGATATGAAATAAAAAGACGCTGGAAACAATTTTCTGGTCCAGCTGCAAAAACTGATGCAATGCTTCCTGGGTTGCTTTTTCTTATTTGCTCACAGTATGCAGGAAGAACACGATACCCTTCTTCAAAAGTTCCATGAAGTGCAGCCATGCTGCGCTCCTTCCCACGCCAAGCTTGCATGTAAGAGACAGCAACTCCATGCTGATCTCTAATATCTTGAAGGATTTCTTTTGGTTTGTATTGTGGATTATCCCGAATACGAGCTTCCACTGATCTTGCAACCCAACCTACTGATGCTTGTTGATGATGGAGGTTGCGAACTCCTTCACAAGTATGCTCTCCGTGCAGAGTTCTGATTGAAAAGGTTGGAACTCCAGGGCATTTTGCCACGTGGACACGCCAAGGGCAGCCTTCTTTAGAGCATTTGGCTATGAATCTACTACGATCAGATTTCACAATCCGAAGATCAAAATGCAGTGCTATGGCAATATCTTTCAATGTTCTTCGGCAAGTTTCTACATCAGGAAATTCTTGCCCAATAACTAAAGTTTGTCCTATCAAAGTCTGTGAAGAATCAGGTACAATTAATGTGGGATCAGCCATGAACCCACAGAATGAAGAACACTAGGCCCCACTTATTTCAAAGGATCCCCTTCATACTGCTTGCATATCAGATACCTCAGATAAATCCACGTCATAGAAGTAACTGTACACAAATACTAAAATAGCACAGTAAGAAAAGAAAGATATAAAAGAAAAAAAACAAAAGAAAACTAAATAATGAAGCAAATAGAAGAAATGAATTAGAAGAACTATACCAGGAATTATTAATCAACAAAGAGAGGGAAATTGTGGGAATCGAATGACAATGCCGGAGATTGATCCTCTGTTGCACTCTTGTAGAGTGACAAAACTTAATTCACGGAATGAACAACTAGAGCATCTGTCAGAAGAAAAAAAGAGCCCATGAAAATACATAATAAGATAAAGAGAATTATTTTTATTTCAAGTAATTACATTAACTAATCCGACTTCCTTCTCCCACCAACAAATTTGCCGTCCCTTCGACCCCACCCCCTCCACAACACACAGACACGTACCCGCTAAATAAAGGAAAACTAAACCAACAAAAAAACCGTTGAGGCAATTCAATTTGGGAACGGACAGATGATTGCAGAAGTATAAAACAAAAGTTCCTAAAAAAACAAAGGAAATAACATTCACCAGATCAGTTACATAGCCAGTTTATTTAATTGGATCAAGAACCACTTGTGTTTACAGTCATCCTGACACCTATTGACAAAAGAACAAGAAAAATTTTCAACTTGGACATTAAAAAATATTATTACAGAGAAAAAGAGAGGGAAACTATAAGGTAAGGAGGATAAGTCCCAAGGGAGAAATGAGACAAAAAGAAACTTCGTCGGTAGAAATAGCATACCGATCCCTTCATAGCATAAACAATCCCCTAAAGGAACTTTGTGCTTTAGGCCAGAAGGCAAGATACACTATCCTCTCTAAGACGTTGTTACAGAGGAAGACCGTTACTTAACAATGCTTGCATTTCCCTCTGATTGAAGGACCATAAACCCATGAAATACCCCATCTACGAGGCATCAAATGATCTTTACCCTACATGATACTGGACAGAGCAATAGAAACATGGAGGCACACCTAATACACACTGAAGGAAAAGAGTGTCCAGTCTGTGACCTACAAGCCATTCCATAATCAAGTCTTTGCAATTGTGTTCCGAGATATGTACACACATCAACCAAATGTTTGGCTGAAGTGCTCTTTGAGGTCTAAGAGTAGATTTGATACAAAACCCCAGAGATGCATTACGGTTTTGACAGATTGAGGGGAGAAATGAGAAAAGATTAAAATGTCATTAGATGTGTCAACAAAGAAACAGTAAGTAGTTATTCAATGAATTCAAAAGAGTCCAAGAAGTTTGCATTGCTAGGTAGCTGAACAATCAAATGTAACGTCTTTATATACTTGAGAAAGAAAGGAAACTAAAATAGTATGCAATGAGCACATAAAGAGCCATAAGGTGAAGTAAAAAACTTTAACAATTTGGAATACATTAACTAAAATAGAACAATTGTTGTCTATTTTTCTTTGAAATCGCCAAACTTAGGAACGATTGAGGCCCAAATAGTTTATCACAAAGCTGATGAAACAATCAAATAAGTTCGCATTTGCAGCTACATCCTTATCTTTCATACCTAAGGATCTTGCCCTTTTCCTTCTTCACCTGTATCAATAAAAGAGATATATCCATAGATTTTAATGCGCCCACTGTCTTTTAACAAGATCTCTTACACTCTTTGAGCACTAAAATAATTCCTGATCATATCTTGGTCCAGACAACTTACGATATTACATGCATGTTACTAAGGTTAAGAGTAAATTATCATCAAATGCATCGATATTTCGTAAAGACATTTAAGAACTTACAATTACACCGAATCTTACCTGAAAACCCATCCTTATGGTAAAGTATTATATGTAGTAAAAAATTTCCATTTAAAATAAAAAATTCTTTATATCAAATCCCATTCAACATTACATTGTGAAGATGAATGTGAACGTATCAGTTAATTAATTAATTTTAATTAACTAATTAGTTTCTTTTCTATTAATCACTATTAGTCGTTATTTAGTTTACTCCATCATTAGCTTTTCTAATGTATCTATACATACCCATTATGTACTGATTAGTGAGTAACTAATAAAAATCATTTTTTTGCCTCGGTGTTACAACAGTTAACTCTGCCTAGTGCTCCTCCTATGCGCAAAAGGAATAGAGACCGCTCTTATAATTTTTTTTTCAATTTTTACCTCTTGCCCTTCACAAGAGCAGCTCTTCCTGCTCAACCCGCATTCCCACAGAATCCTCACAGCTATTTCCAGCAAATAGACATAAAAGCCATCCAAAGCTACCCCCAAACTCTGGTGCGCAACTCGGCGAATTTCTGTCTTTCACATGCAAGCCCCATTTCGCTTCTAGGGAATTAAAAAATTTTCAAGCGAAATCATGGACTAAAAAGTCCAAACGATTAAAAAAGAAAACAAAGAACCCCTCTGGTCACTCGCCAATCATCAACACAAAAATTCGTAGATCATTCACCACCATTAAAAAAAAAACACACAAAACCTCACTGCATACACATATCTCGGAAACACACACAATAAAGACAAGACTGGTACAGGTGTTAAGGTGAAAGAGAATACAAGTTAAAAAAGAAATATGTTTGAAATTAGGACACTGAGTTTTGCTCAAACTAGAAATAAAAGAGGAGAAGAAAGCAGTAGATCCATCCCGAAACAAGAATTCCAAGAATTCAATATCAATTACGAAACAAACTAAAAAATGGCAAATTTCCATGTACCTCAAAATTTCTCAGCCGCGGGGACTCTCAAGCTGTGCCTGTAGCTTTGTCCGATTCAAGCCCTTTTTCTCCCTTATATTAACTCTGCAATATCTGATCTCTCATGTTTTAACAATAACGTAAAGAGTATAAGTTTGGAAATTGAGGAACAACCATTAAAGTCTTAATTCCATATTTGTCCTTCACATTTATATTTTTTCCATTTTAATTTTTAAATTACTTAAGGGTTAAATTTTAATTTGGACCACATCAAACAATTGATATATTCATAATTTATTTCTTGAATGATTTGTTTAACTAATTTTTTTTAAAAAAAATATTATATAAAATCTCTCAATCTCTCACTCTAATAATTGTCTCCACAATTCAAACTTTTCTCTTTTGATAAATTCTTTCACGTCATATTATTTTTTCTTTAAAATAAATTATAAACCGTGCTTTAAATAGTAATTTTACCCAAAAAAAAGGGTATTATATTGTAATTGTTGAAGTTGAAAAAATTATTACCGAATTTGAGAAAAAAGAGTTCTCGACGGTGATAATGGACAAAAACATAATTTAGTTAATTTAATTTTGTTTGAATAGGTTCTCGAGATTTAAATTTGTTAACATTAAAAGTAAAAAGGTAACAAAAAGTATGAAACTTTTATTTTATAATAGATTCGTGTATGATAATATTTTCATATATAATTCCTCGTTGTACTAAGCTTTTTGTGTGTTAAAATTGTTAAGTACACAATAAGAAAATCCTAATAAATTTCTAAACTTTTTTCCTTCATGGTTTCACTTTTTTTTTTTTTTTGTAGTTTTTATATCATTCTTTGTAAGCATTTTTTTGTGGTTTATTTTTGTCTAATTCTCAAGGGTTTTCTCTATAATTTTTATTAAAAAAAAACTTCTCTATAAGGAAGTTTCCTTTTATAAGATTTTATCATTGATTTGGTATCGTTTTAAATTAAATTTGTGGGTTAATATTAAATTTTAATAATAATCTTAATAGTATAAATTAACTATTGACAAAGATGTAACTTTCATGTTTCTAATTTATTATTTTCAATAAGAAGATCTAACAAACTGTTATATAAAAAATAAATAAAAATTTTCTCAAATTTTTAAGATAACAAAGATTTGAAACCAAAATAAAATTTGTTTTACTTTTCAAATATTTATATTATTCAATTTATTCAAAATAATATCTTGCAATTCTTGCGACTCTAACGATTCTTTCTTGTTTTAGTAATTGCTTGTTTATTTTAATCACCATTTTCTTATCTATAAAATTACAAGAAAATATAAAGATAAAATCATGAAAACATAATTATAAATATTCAATCACCTAAATTTCACGAGTTTTAAACACCTTTTAATTTCCTGAATATCCAATTTTTTAAAATCTTTCCATGTATTATTAGTTTTTCATTCCTTTATTGAGAAAAATTCATTTACTACCATAAAAATCCAAATCTCACTTAGTTTTGGAAGCAAAGAAGGAGAACATAATACTTTAATGTTATTTATATAACAAGTGATGATTTTAGAAGTGTTTGTATATTATTTTAAGTTGTAATTCTAGCATTCTCATACTTGTGATTACTACTTAATTCTACTAGTTTTTCATGCTTGGAACTCTATCTTAAATATCAAGAATTAGGTTGAAATGATCTCTATATAGGTTATCTTTTTCTCGATCTAGATCCAAACAGACTAGATCATTTGATCCAGTCCATAATTGTAGGAATGAAAGAGTTCAAAATCTACTTTGTTTCAATCTATTTTCTTATCTAAATCGAATCAAATTAGATTAAAAGAAATAGTTGAAATATATATTTTAAGAATTAAAACTCTAATTATGAAAAAAAAATAGTATAATTTAGTGTGAATCAAAGATATCAATCTGGTTTATTCCGGATCAACAATAATAATTTTATAGTTCATTCCAAATTAAGTTTTACACTGATGAAATATGCGAACAAAATTATCTTATAAAAATAAATTTAAAAATAATTTACTTTCCATCAAATATAAGGTAATAAACCTTACAGAAAATGTCACAAGTTTACATATTTAACTTCACTTAAAATGGATCTTGTAGGCTATTTTCATTATGATGAACTTAAAAAGAGTATGAAACCGAAAGGATTTTATTTGCTTAAAATTACAAATATCATGAACTTTGCATATTTTTATAAAGTTCGAATAAACTTTGATATATACTAAATGCATGGAGAAAATAAGTCATGTAAATACATTTGAGGCTAAATATATTATCGATCAAAAAATTGATCCATTTCTTATGAAGTTGGAATTAGTTGTATTAGCCTAAATCCTAAGAAAATCCAAGAGAGAGAGGTGAATTGGATTTTGCATAATTTTAATCTTTTATGCAAATTTCCAACTATACTATAAAAGTAAATCAATCCCAACCAAATATACAAATCAAATAATTAGTGTACTACCAAAATTAAGAAATTCACATTAAATTGTTCTAATGATAAGCATTTGAATCTTAAACAAGAAATATACTTCTAAATGTATCAATCCTAAACAATTAATATTTTTGCAAAACATATGTCTTAACTAATCCGTGTGCTAGCAAAAATATAAATTCCAAGCAATTTATTAAGCTAACAAATATTCAATTCGAGGTAATAGCTATTCAATTAAACTTGTCAATATCAAATAATTAAGAATTGGTAAAGGTAAATGCAAGAGTGAGAGATTGAAAAAATATGCAAACTTGGATTAAAGAAGTTTAACCTTAAATTGGGCTAGCATCCTCTCCTCAAGTCACCGCTATTCTTCAATAATTTTCTATAAAATACTTGTCAATAAGGTGTCAAGCTCCACCTATCTCACATGCTCCCTTGAATACAAACGTTTATTTAATATGTCATACTTCACGTATCAAATGTAATTCATAACACTCAACCCGCAAAAAGAAATACCCATTCATTTCTTATAATACCCATAAGAAAGAGGATAGATTTTGTATATTTTCTTCCTCAACAAGCGATTTTACAAATTAAAACTCATTTTGGGTTCAACCAAGGCTCAAGAAAAATAAAAATAAAAATATTAATTTGATTCTTTGGAAAAACTTCTTCAAAAATTAAAAAGTTATGCATAAAACAATATATAAGAACTCGATAAAATTTTTAGAAGATTTTCTCATGGAATAAAAAAAATTCTTAAAATATATTTAGATATTCTCTTTTCACTTCTAAATAATATAGAAGAAGTTTATTTAAAGGATGAAAGAGAAACTACCAAGTAGAGACAAAGAGATTTGAAATCGAATCCAAACACTTAATACAGCATCAATATATTTTTTAAAATATCTGTTTAATGTGATTTCCTATGTGATCTTCCGTGTCACAAGCTTTAGCACATTTGCCTTAAAAAATATGCTTTAAAAACCTTATGATTTCTGACTTGATTTGCAAAATCACATTTTCTGGCATATCAACGTTAATTTAAAAATATTTTTAATATTTAAAAAAATTATAAAATAACTTAAAGTTCTAATTTTTTTTAAAAAAAAAATTATTTGCCAATCAAATTAACTCATTGAAAAATTAATAAAGAATATTCTAAAATATTTTAAAAGAGATTTCGTAAGTAAAAAATTTAATAATAAAAAGTCTCGAGTTTTCAAAATTGAAGCACCTAATTACATGGAACAGAAGTAATAAATAATTGTTCTTCAATCTTCAATTATTTTTCTTTTTCTATTAATATTATGGTCTTTAGC